GACTGGAGCGGCTCTGGGACTCTGCCATGGCTGCATCAGCCAAGGGGGTCGTGCCAGTAGCATCGGGCAAGTGCCTCCCCATCTGCTTTGCATGCCTGCTCCCTGCCCAGCTCCCTAGCCCAGGGACTCCAACTATGCTTCGTCCCACTCCCACACCCCACTTTAGTTAATCCTGGATCTGTCCATGGCCAAATTAAAAATGGCTATACATGTGAAGTGCTATCTTATCCAGTCTATTCTAACTCCACTAAACTTACAAGCTTTTTACCAATTTCATGTATTAACAATCAGCTAGAATGTGAATTTCAAGTGTATGATATTCAAAATTCCATAAAATTTATGCTCACTATAAGAAACATGAATTTATGAATGCTTTTAAACCAGGGGCAGTCAAAATATGGCACGTGGGCCCACCAAGCACTTCCCTCCAGCCCACAGAGCCTCTTCAAAACTCAGGTAACGGTGGCTGCCTCTCTAAGTCTCCAGTGGGAGCTGACAGCACCAGCCACCAGCTGCAGCACCTCAGGCTGTTTACTTGGGTTCTGGTTGCGAGGTAACCAACCCGGACCTCAGCCTGACCCTGCTGGCCTCGCCCCGCTCCTGGCTCAGGCCACGTTTGCAGCTTGAGAGTGCCGGCTTCAGCTGAATGCCGCTTTTCCTGGCCAGTGCCGACCCAGCTGGGCCCATCCCATCCCATGAAGCTGGCTTCCCATGTGCTGCTGGGGACGGGACAAACTCAGCCAGGTCAGAACCAGCCAGCAGAAGTGGCGGCAGAGCTGTGTGCCACTCCGGACTAACCGGCGCAGGTAGGGGGGAAAGTGCAGCTGAGCCCCTGCCACTACAGCCAGGCTCGTCCGGTCCCCAGCAGCACATGGGAAGCCAGCTTCAGCTGCATGCCACTTTTCCTGGCCGGTGCCAACCCGACTGAGCCCATCCCATCCAGAGCAGCATGCGGCTGAAGTCAGCTTCCCCATGTGCTGCTGGGGATGGGGCGAGCCTGGCTGGGTCAGCACTGGTCAGCAGAAGCGGCAGTGGAGCCTCCTGCCTTTTGGGACCAGCTAGCACAGGTAGGGGGAAAGTGCAGCAGCACGTGGGGAAGCCGCCACTTGATAAGGGACAGGATGGGCCAGCCAGGCCTCACCAGGGAGAGAAAGCTGTGGCTGAGCCCCCTGAGGCTCGGGACAGGAGGGGGCCTACAGCACTGAAGGGGGCTGTGCTGGTGAGGGGGCCTGGGCCAGCTTCTGCTGTGCCACATTGGGGGGGTGTGGCTGGGATGGGTCAGGACCAGGTCATGCTGGCACCAGTGATGGGTGAGGAGGTTGGCCAGTTTTTGATGCCTGGGGCGTGATGGGGTAGGCTGGGTCCTTGCTTGTGGGAGGTGTCTGGTGACCAGTACTGGTCAGGGGATGGGAAGCTGGGCTACATTCTGCTGTCCTGCAGGTAAGGAGAGGCTAAGCCAGGTCCTGCCCCACAGGTGAGGGGAAGGGTACGCTGGGCTGGTTTCTGCTGCGCTGTGGGGTGCCAGCCCCTGCCTTGCAGCTAGGAACCCTTGCTGAGAGGGAATAGGTCTGGGCTGGCTCCTTGCTGTGCTATGCAGGTCTGGGCCTTGTAGTTAGGAACTGCTTGCCGTTGGAGCCATGGGCAGCTTGGCGTAGGCTGGGCCCTGGTAGGTACATAGGCCTAGTGCTCCTAGTGCAGTTACTGGCACACCTGCACCCAGTACAGTTACTAGCACATTTTTAGTATATGATACTTTATCTATACTTCATTAAAATGATTTGTTCTGAAAGCCTTTGTATGCAGTCCTTGACTCAACTGGTTTGGCTCCATGCTGGGAGAGGTATGATGCCCCTGAAACTCCACTGCTGGGACAGGATGTTAGAGGGGTCACAACTCCTTGCTACCTAGTAAAGTTGTGCCTGTGCCTCGTGGCCCATACGGCAGAACTCTTGGGGCCCCAAGAGCAGGCCACGCACTGTGAGGGTGGGCCCTGGTGTTGGGAAATGTTTCCCAGTCAAGGGGTACACCTTCTGATGTCAGGGATCATGTGATGAGGGCAGAGGATTCTGGGACAGAAACAGTGAGTGGGGCGGTTTGGTGTTGGGTGGGTGGGGCTTATGACACCGACCATATGACCGGGTGTAACTTTTGGTTCCAAGGCCACCTCTCCAAAAGAAGTATTTCCAGGGGCAAGGGGAGGGACTTCCAGAGGCAAAGGTCAGGGGTTGGGGGGACTTCTGGTCCCAAGATGGCGACCAGGGGGCAGAGCAACTGAAGGGGCAGGGCTACCCATGCGGCCCTCGACAGCTCACCAAAACTCATCAAGCAGCCCTCTGCCCGAAATAATTGCCCGCCCCTGTTTTAAACAGTTATTTGAAAATTTAAAGTGACACTGATTTACTAAATAAATCATTGAAAAAAGGTATCAGTAACAGGACATTAAATTGCACTTATATTAATTTACCAATTAGAACTAAAATTATTGGACAAAGGACAATAAAAAGGGCAGTCCATAAATAACACTTCTCTTTTTAACAAATACTCAAAAGTAATCTGAAATTGTTTAACATCAAGTCATTGCTGCTTAACTAAAGTTTGTAAAGTTTGATTGACATACATGATCTTCATAAACTAGCTGGAAAAAGTGAATTAATCAACAGCTGTAAAGACCTGAACCCAAATGCAGCATCCCCTCTTTATGCTAATTTCTATTAAACAATAATTATACAATGTTTTATTTGGCAGAACCTAGTAATGCTGAAACTGACTGTCAGCATTATTATTATTATTATTATTATTATTATTATTATTATACGAGCCTGATTGCAGAGGTTATAACTCAGCTATAAAAATTCTCTCAAGACTATGACTGGTAATAAACAATAGCCTAAGAACAATCTTTTATTTGCAATAATTTACTACTCAAATTCACATATAAATTCCTTGGACATTCTAAGAAGATAATGCAAAAAAATGCTTGGTGGCCCTTTTATAACTCAGCCTACTACAAACATATTACAGCCCATTGTCCCTTCACATATAATGTGCATATTTAAAAAATGAATGTGCATTTTAATGTTGGAAAATTTCAACCACATAAATGCACTTATCTTGATTAATTATCAATATCCTTTTAACACTAATGTCTCTATCTATATTACCGTAAGACAGATCTCTCTGGTAATGGAGTAGTTATATTGTTACAATCTATTATGTAAATGGACACACAGGAATTTTCTGTCCGTTGAAAAAATTAAAAATTGGAAGACATCATAGGGATCTCTTAGCAGTAGTCAGTCATTCTTCTCAAGTGCAATGACTTTCTCAACCAACTTTAAAAGTTTGTTTTGTTTCTACAGATTTTCATAGTTTCATAGTAGCTAGGGTCAGGAGGGACCTGAACAGATCATCTAGCTTGACCCCCTGCCACAGGGGGGAATGAATGCTGGGTTCACAAGACCCCAAACAGGTGATCATCCAACCTCCTCTTAAATTTGCTCAAGATAGGGGCGAGGACCACTTCCCTGGGAAGCTGGTTCCAGATTTTGGCCAACCTAACTGTAAAAAGTGTCTGAGGGAAGTGTCACTTCCCTCAGACATCACAATTACCTTTATAATCCCACCATTAAAATACTTCAATATAAAGCAACGTTTATAATCCACAATGATAACAGCATTTATTATTTACAAACTCCAACAAAGAGAATAGGGAGCAAACATGACCACCAAGATGTAAATATCTTACATGCTATAAAATTTCTAAGTGAGGAGACTAAGGGCACAGACAGAAGTGACAATTTTCGCCTGGCCACAGAAAGCAATCTATAGCTGTGACTGAACACAAGCACATGGCTGCACACCGCTTAAAAACAGGTGATTGGGAAAAAATCTAAGCTCTCATTGCAGAAGGGTTCAGCTGAAGACTTTTCAAAGCACAGCATCTTCTTTAACTTCATCTGCGCTGCCTCCCAGCCTATCTCCGTTTTCAGAATGGGACAGGAGAAGGAGTGTGGAAGAAGTTTGGTCTGGGGGGTTTTCAGCCCCCTCTGGAGGGTAGGATGGGCATATTGGAGGTAGGGCTCCAATTCATCCACCCCACTGTCCAGTGCCAATTGAGGAACCCCTAGAATGAGCTCCCTCTACTTCCTTCCCGCCCCCCGCCCCCCATTCTGAAGACAGGGACAGGCTGGGGGGGAGGAGGGGCCACTATTGCTAGGGGCTTGGGGCCAACAGCTAAATTCCCCTCCCCACCAGAGCCAACAGTGAATTTCTGTTTGGTCCGGGGGATCCCTGCTGCTCAGAATGCTTCCTGTAAAGCATTCCGAGTTACAGCAGAGAGCTGAACTTCTGTCTGCGCCCTTAATCTAGACACATATTTTTAGATGTCAAACTATATTATTTTACCAGATGTACATATTTAATCATGCATTGTAAGCACAAGTCACTAAGAATTAAAACAAGCCAAAATAGAAACTAAACAGAAAAAGAAAAATGAACCAATAATACACAGGAAAGAATCTAAAAAAAAGAGCCAGAAAAAAATAATTTTATACCGTCACCAATAATGTATTTTTGTGCTTGCACTTCTCAAATATTCAGACTTGACATGATTTAGATAAATATCTACCAGCATTAAACAAACACAGAGGAAGAGTGAATTACACAGAAAGAATCATAACAAAATGGGACAAAATATCTGAAAATAAGTTTAAAAAATAAAAATAAAAAATCAGAAGGAACACCTCAAGTAATGGAGCTTTAATCCAAAAGAAATCATTCATCACTTTAATCTTTCTTTAGTATTTTAATCTGTTTTACTACTGTGTTTAAGTTGTAACCATTTCAAGTCTTTACCTTGATTATTTACTTTTCAAAAATTGATCTTAAGCCAAGATGGCTGAAGCATCAATAAAGTCATTAGTAGTAAACACTCCCAGAAGGACAACTGATTTCTAATCTAATTATTTGAAAACTAAAAGTTATTGGGCAATGATTCTTACCTCAGTTACTTTAGCTTGAAGCCTTAAAACTTCAGGACTCATGCGGGGAATATCTATATGAATCTAATCAGAAAGAACAACAACAAAAAAAAGCTTTTTTTTTTTTTTTTTTTTTTAAAAAAAAAAAAAAAAAAAAATTTTTATTTGTTTTTTTTAAGGTTTTTTTTTTTTTTTAAAAAAAAAAAAAAAAAAAAATTTTTATTTGTTTTTTTTAAGGTTTTTTTTTTTTTTTAAAAAAAAAAAAAAAAAAAAACCTTTTTTTTTTTTTTTTTTTTTAAGGAAAAACAAATACACTTCAAAAATACATACTAACATTCTTTAATTTTTATTTCTTCTACTAAAGTAATGGTTAAAATAAGCATATATTTTGAGCTACCATTTAGATTCCGACTATAAAACATTTCCAGTTTTGTCCTAAAAGCTAGATGTTACAGGAATGACATTGAATTCTCAGGATCAGGCCCTACATTTTTAAGTAATTCAGAAATTATAAAAGGCCAAAATAGGGTAACACCGTTTCTTTTCACTGCACAGAATGTTATATGACACTATGAAGGCTTGTAAATTGTAGTCTTATTTGTCAAATTCCAAATATCGACTTTAGTAACAGTGGAAAACATACTTCCTGGTTCTAATAAAGTAACATTAACAACAGTTACACTATAGGATTAATATGAAAGTGCAATGCCTGAACTAATGAGGAAAGAACTTTTCTAATTTTGTATCTTGCTAGTAGTGGCACCTGAGGGAAGCTATCATTGATGGCTTAATCTTTAGAGAAAGAGTCTAAGAAGAAGTGTAAACCCAAGTAGGAATTGATGTTTTGATTTACAAATAGTAAACTGCTCTTCAGTTTCAGAATGAAACGATTTAAGGAAAGTAGCAATTTTAAATTACAGCTTCCTCACTGTGAATGTAAGGTGGCCACAACCTCCCATATGAGTACCACCAGTGACACAGGCAGCTTCTGCGTGGCACATAGCAAATTAAGGAGAGGACAGGCAGCACAAGAGCAGACAGGGGAGGAAGCAAAAACCAGAGCAACACATTACATATAGAGCAGGGGGCAGGAAGCAAAAAAACCAGAGCAGCAGAGAAATCAGAGGAAGGTGACTAGTGTGGCAATCAGGTAGAGTACAAAGCTAATTTGTGGCACACCTGCCAGAAAGGCTGGCCCTCACTGGTATAAACAAACAATACATAATATTATTTTCTCTCCTGATGAAAGAGTAATGTCTTGCAGCAGCAGGGTGGCCACTAGAATATGAAAGTATTTCCACCTTTCCACACATCTGCAATAGTACTGAATTACTTCACTCCTTTGCTAACAGTAAAGAAAGACAGATCAAATCATGAAGTCTGTACTACTGCAAATATACATTAAAATTAAGTATTATCAAAACATAATCTCCAATTGTCTGTGTAACACCTACACACACACTGGGTCGTAGATTGTGTTTTTGTATGCGTGTGTGTTTTGTGTGAACAAAACAGCCCCTGTTGTTCTGGCCCCTGTGCTCAGCACATGGCAAGCTGGGACCTGCATCTGGGCAAACTTTGTAAAACCCTCTAGCCTCATTGGCCAGAGGAAGCAGAAGATCATCTAGGCAGATGAGAGAGAGAGAGAGAGAGAGGCTGAAGCATGGCACTCTCTAATTGGACACGGCTTGGGTGATGTCATGTAAGATATACCAAGAACAGCTTAACTAAGATTTCTAACTTTCTCTCCTGGGGCTACCTAGAGCTGCACAGCTGAATTAGGAGCCAGAAAACCTACTTATGGAGGGTTCCCCCCTCTTCCCCCGCTTCACTGGAGAGGCAAGCAAAAGATATGGGATGGAAAAGCCTCAGGTACAGAGAGAGAAAGTCTGGTCTCAGAGTCTGAGACTCCTATTTCCTCCCTCTTCCCCCCCCCCCTTTATTTTCCTTAAGTGGATTAAATGCAATGGGGGTATTAATCCCTGGAGCAAACTGCCCAGGAATGGGTCCAGCAGTTACTGGCCCCTGTGTTTGGGGACTGTATTGCCTCAACATTGTGGTATAGCTGAGACTGGATGTCCAGGCTGCTGCAGCCATAGGCCTAGGCCCTTTTTCCTGTTTCACAGCTACTGCATTTCAATTTAGCTGTGTGGCTGAGCCCCAGCCGTATGTTTGACTTGGCAGATTTGGGCCAGGGTGAAACCTGGCATGATTTAAGCCAGGGTGAGACGTGGCACAATTTGTTGTTTATCCAGGCTTCAGTGCAGTACAGACCTGGTCAGCTTTTTGCTGCCCCGTTCAGGTCAAGCGAGATGGGTCTGAGCCTCTTTTCGTGCTTTTTGTAGTTTATGTCCCAACCAAGCAGCGTGGTTGGGCACTAGATGTAGTTCAGACCCAAGCCAAGCTAGGCCTGACCTTTCCTCCAAGCTCTTTTGTATTTTTCTATCCAGCAGAGCTGGGATTGGGACTAGGAATTTTGGGGTGCGGTATGCTAACAAAAACCAGTTAACCCCTCAAAGGCACCTTACAGAAGTGAAAGTCAGCACTCTACCGCTTCTCCAGGAGCAACAGAGCCTCTTGCAATACAGAAAGACCACCACTCTTGAGCAGTTACCTGCAGCGCAGTAATCCCAACAAGCAGCTCATAGGACTCGTGTGTGCCCTCCTCTTCAGCTGGTATAGGGGTGCAGATGCCCAGAACTATAATTTGGGGACCCCCAAGCACCAGGCTGAATGGGCATGGGTGAAGCCTCCTCAAGAAGGTGCCATCTACAGACTTTGCTTTGTAGCGGATAGTGTTTTAAAATTATATTTAAATGTTTTCTTTTCTTTTGTTTTCTTTTCTGTAATAAATTTGAGCATATGTGTTTACACTGCCTGCGAGAAAAGGGTTTTTGCTCATGTGGGACACCTTAGTAATTCATTTAATGTTTCCCCCGTTAGTCTGGGTGGGGGCTTAAGGCAAGGAAAATATATTTAGTAACCTAAAATTGAACCTGGCCCTTGCTGCTGCCAACCGGTCCCCAGTCCACCACCCCTGAGACCTGCAATGTTCAATTTCTTCACCAGCGATTTGGACAACGGGGTGAAGTGCAACCTGTTTAAA